CACACAAAGCAAGAGAAGAAATTAGAAGAAATGCATAATATAGTCAATAAACAGAGGTGTGAGACAAAGGAATAGTAATAACGAAGAACAAACCAGTTTCATTGGAAATCATAAGTCACAAGGAGTGGATGCATCTGCGCCACTGAGAAAGATTTTGAGCCATGTAACCAATTGTTTCCAACCATTGGTTTTTACCGTCCCGAGGACCCCAACCAGGAAGTCTACATCTTCCTACGTGGCTTTAGCTAACTGTTGTGGATTTCAATGACTGGTGCCATGTTTCGTTTGACCGCCGCTAGCTCTTTTCCAGCCTGGCCATATATCAGCTAACATTGTCCATTGTCGAGGGAGGCGATGACTAGGCATACGTAGCGCATATCCTAACCATCTCCGTCGATAAAGCTCCACAGCTTCGTCGATTGATTTACCCGCCTTAACTAGCGCTCGATGCCTAACCTCAATATTGCTCACCTTATTATACCACTTCACGTAGGAGATAGAACGCAAAAACCTATGATCGAACACAGCTAATCTTTTAATGTCTTCTGCTCTCAATGGCCAGGTCTCGCAGCCATAAAGGAGGACAGAACGGACTGTTGAGCAGTACACACGCCCTTTGGTCGATAGTTGGATATCACGTCTACGCCAGAGACGGCGTAAACCGGCATATGTGAAACCAGCCCTCTGTATTCGTGCTGAGATTTCGTCGGAGATCAACCCGTTGGGGCTGATGGTACTTCCCAAGTAAGTGAATCGGTCAACGTGCTCTACCACTTCACTTCCCATTTCCAATCTAGGAGTCGGTGAAGTCTAATCCTGCAGCATCATCTTACATTTTACAGGGGCGAATCGCATGCCAAACATACGAAGATTGTTGCTCATGGTGTTCAGTAGACTCTGTTCTATTTTGTCAGCGTCCTCGCCTAGAAGGACTATATCGTCCGCATATTCTAAGTCGACGAGATTATTTTCTGGTAGCAAGTCAATCCCTGAGTCGCTGAAGTGTGTTAGGGTTAAGTCCATTAGTACGTCTATGATGAAGTTGGATAGGAATGGGGATAATGGGCATCCTTGACGGACGCCACAGAATCTTTATTCACCAGTGTTCCTCTTCATGAAACTGTTGATTTCATTTGCGATTACATTGCTGGCAATGGAATACAATTACATATTCCTGTCACTTACATTAGAGACATTATCTTAATATATTCAGAAAATACCATATTCACCTTCCAAGAAAAGGCATATAAACAAATCGATGGTGAAGCGAGGGGGAGCCCCTGCTAGCAGATGTATTCATGTCGAAATCGGAGAAATGAATTCCAGGGAATGCTAGGAGAATTTATGCTATACAAACGTTATGTGGATGATACTCTCATTGTTGGTATTAATAGTAAGTCTATTGAAAACTTCGTTACTCTATTTACTCATATTTATCCATATATCGGAATCGAATAACAAACTCGGTTTCATGGAGGAGAGACGAGGAGAGACAGTAGAACGATTGAGCGATCTATTTTTCGTAAACAGACATGGATTATTGCAAAAATGTTCATTCAGACATCTATAAAAACAAAATAATCAAGCAAAGAATATTCTTTTCGATAAATTCCTCTTGACGAGGAGCCTAACCATATTAAACGGTTGCTAAGTGAGAATGGTTATCCTGAAAAGTTTATTGATAAGAATATGGATCTAAAACCAAAACAATCCAAGGTACCAACAGTTCCAAAGAAATCCTTTTTCTTACAGATGCAGTTCCTAGGAGACAACACAAGTGAAATACTAACACATCGCCTCAGAAATGCGGTAAAAAGAGCATTCCCTGCTGCTCAATTACGCTGTATCTTTAAAACCACTCCTCTTCTGCGTTCGGGAATAAAAGACAAACTGCCTAATTTCGCCTCTTCCATGTGTATCTACCAATTTAACTGCTCCTGTGGAGCCAGTTACATAGGCCGTACAATTAGGCGTGTTTCACGTCGAATTTCCGAACATCACACTGTGTGGTTAAGCAAAAGACAAACAAAATCTATTCGCAGCGCTATTCTTTCTCATCTTGTGCAGACAGAACACAAAATTGACGTTAGTCATGCTTTCAGGGTCATTTATCGCATAGCTACGAATCTCACTTTTGCTTTAGGAGTTCGACTACTAAATATTGCTGAGGCTGTGTGGATTCATATTAATAAGCCTAATTTATGCACCCAAAAGGAGTTAGTTCAGACATTATCCTTACCACTTGGCCATCTAGGTTTCAATAATCCGGAATTTTTGTGAAATTTTCCTAATTTTAGTTGATATTCTATTCGCTATTATATCTTTATTATTATTATTATTATTTAAGCATCTTTAATGAACTGTAATTGCATTGATCATACTTTACAAATCTATATTATTTAAAAAACGCTAATATTGTTATTAACTACTAATTTAAAATATTCTGTGTATAAAAACATATATATATAACTGTAGAGCCTGGAAGAGGAATTTATCGAAAAGAATATTCTTTGCTCGATTATTTTGTTTTTATAGACATGGATTAGACAATATTTTCATTTCACCAGTTTTGTTTCCATCCCGTTTAAATGTTCCTTAGGGAAACTTTAGTTATCAAGTGCTCACAAAATGTGCTCCAGCGACACATTGATAGATGAGCTTCGACACATACATTCAGCTTTATTAGCTAATGGTTATCCATAGAACTTTATCAACTTCCACAGTAAGGATAGACAACATTTTGAAAAGACAGCTTCTGTACCAAAGAAAACTATCGTTATTAACCTACTGCATTCAAGGGTGATCAAATGATGCAGCTGAAAGCTCAAAGACTGGTCAGCTATCAAGCACACTTTCGACACCATATCTCTTTCCTTCACATGGCAAACATTTTTGATCCCTGTACCTACGAATAAAGGATGAAATTCTGTGAAATCTACTTCAAACTGTATTTACAAGTTCACCTGCAGTTGCTGCTGTGACACCTATATAGGTAGAACTAATAGAATGTTCCAATGTCATCGAAAAGAACATGTTTCAAAATGGTTATCAAAACTAATAGATTATTATTATGAACAATAAATAGACTTCAATCTTTGCCTACCACGGACTACATGACATTTTAAATATGATTGGTCATTAGTATGTACTTTTGTTTTTATTTAACTGAGTAATTGTCATTAGCTTTATTTTATTATTGTTAACCATGTTAGTTGCAAAGCGATTGTAGAAAAATTACGAAATGAAGATATCATCTCGAGAAATTTGTCTTCTAAGTGCCTTATTCAAATATATATATGCACTTCAGGTGACACCACACCAGGCCCTCGGGTGCCCCTCCCACCCGAATGTAACGACCCAAGTTTATCATTTCTTCAAATATGATACGGAGGAAGCCATGTGAAGAGGAAATGAGCATTTATGGACAGTCGCGGAGCCTGCTGAAGAAGAATACGGAGAACAGTATGAATTGAATCTCTGCTGCAAAAACCAACAGTAACTTATATATATATATATGTAGAGAGAGAGGATGCGTCTGTGGCACACCGTTAGAATGTACGACAAACACGCAGGTGGTCCGTGGTTCAATCCCTGGTCACCGACACACTCCTTTGTCTCGTTAAGCCAGTAATAAGACTGGTAAAGAGGGAAGGTGAGACATGAAGCTAGCAACCCCACTCCGTAAAAATAAACACCACTGCTACCGAAACTTGAAATTGCTATCTAGAATCCTTGGGAACGCAAAAGAATTAAAATAACAAAGAGAGAGGGTTGCAGATACTCCTTGCTGACGAGTGCCAACTAGCACGAAACCTGGGTCCAATGCTTCCTGTGATCTACTGTCTCCAACCATATTAAAAATCTATAAGTAAACTATTCTCAGTACTTCATGATGAAAACCAGTGTTTTTAAATTCAGATATTTTCGAATTGTGTTAAAACAGATGATCAGGAACTTTCAAAGAAGTTTTCTTCTGGTTACAAAACAAATTGAGTTTATTGAGTACTTCGTGGAAACCGAAGAGAGGGTTTTATCAAATTTTAAGCCAGTGAGTTAGGTTTACTTTTGTAACGGTAAATAATGACACGAAACTATTTGCATACAGTTTTCATTATTCAGCACTGGGTAGTATTGGCTCCATAATGAGTGTGATAATCGAGTACTTTGTCCATACTGGAAATTTCGCCTCAACAAACGCCTTCTTCACAGTGATTTTCAAGGTGAATAATAACCTGTAAAAGGCCATACACTTTCGTGTCCCTTGCATTTTTGAAGCTCTAGCCATTGAGTTAGAAGGAGCAGATTTATGCACACGAAAAATAATTATTCGGTCAGCCCTAGTAACATGGTGAAAACCGTGTGGACTTCTACTTACTTGATGTTTGTGTGCCTGCTTTTCTAACTCCTCATAACTCTTGTATTTCTTTACAACTCTTACATAATTCCATATTTTCCTTCATTTATTCTCTGTGCATCTTGATCACAAGTCAGTCATTAAATTATTCATCTTATTACGTGATTATAATTCACTCACTGAACTTCTTTTTCTACGCATTGACAACTCATTAAGCCTACCGTCTTACTAATATTCAACGGCCCCCTCCTAGTTACAATCTGATTATCGATCATCACATTCCGTCTTTAAATAACTTGATGACGCAAACAATAACCCACACAAATTTTTATTGTTTTCGCAGAAATCTAATGCATACACACGCACTACGTGTTTTGTTTTCATCTTAATTATTGTCTGGATGGGGATTATTCATGAATTGAAATTATTGAACCATAGATATATTACATAGAAATAAGTAGTTGTTTCTTCAGCTGTTTGTACAGTTTATAGTCTGAGGAATCTCCTTTTTGTTGTACATCGTCTTAATTCATGAATGGATAGTTTCTTATCTTCCTTCAACTCTTTAGGGCGGCAACACAATATTAGGAAAATAATTGCTTCATTGGATAACAGATTTTGTTTTGAAAATGCATCTTCAGCATTTCTAATGTTGACACTGTAATAACGTGAGTATATCTACAAGTACATTTGCATCATCTTTAAGATTTTCAAATTCCCAATTCATTTTCAAAGCAATATTACGCCAGTAATCAACTTCAGAGGTTGCACGATATCCTTCATCAGCATCCACTGAGTTGAGTAGTCCTCGTCTAGACAAAATGAAGAAACAACATGACGATGATTAATATTTGTATAAGTGAAATACTACAGTCATCAATTTAGTGTTTATTAAAACATTCTATGAATATTGAGTGTGTTGATGCTCTAGAGCTGGGATGCTTAGCAGGTTCGATACCCAGTTGACTCACTCCTAAGCCCCACCTAGTTCACTAGCCGAGAGTGAGCACGAGAAAGAGGGATAATTCTATGTGAAGCTGGCAATTCCACTCCGTGAAAGCAAAACTATCACTTCTGAAACCTCTAATTTTGAAACCCTATCTTGCATTCATGAAGTATGAAATGAAAAATAAAACTTTTTATAATAGATAAAATGTTTATTAGTTATAAGAAGGATGTTACCTCACAGATTCTTGCAATTCTAGCAGTGTTAGCTGAAATAAAACGAATTGAATTTTAGATTTTCCCGTCGATTGATTGGACCGAAGTGCTTGGTCTCAGCTTGACATATCGGCTTCTTGTGCAGATGCTTCGACGGTGTCTGGGCATTTAATTAGAATATAATTGGTGGATGGTGACTAGCAGTGGAATGCATGATAACGCGCATTTCGTCCTATTTGGGACTCGTGGTCACCTGGGTGTACCTGCATTTCCCAGTGAGTGATGATGTTCTCACTACCGAGGCTCTAACCCCAGTGCCGAGTACTTCGGTACAATCAATCGACGGGAAAATCTAAAATTAAATTAACATGACTCATTGCACAAGAGGTGGCTCTCGTGGCCTCAGTGGTCTAGTGGATAATGGTTTGGTTTTTGAAACTATGGGCACTGGGTTCGAGCCTCGCTGGTGGGAACATCATCACTCAGTGGGAAATGCAGGTACATCCAGGTGACCACGAGTCCCAAATAGGACAAAATGCGCGTTATCCTGTATTCCACTGCCAGTCACCACCAACCAATTAAATGAAATAAAACTAGTTTGTCGAAAGCATTGCGTAAGTCTGTGTAAGCCATTAGGATATTTGTAGATAAGTTAATCGTGCTTTATTTTATTTTATTTTTTGATTACAGCTTGTTTCCACACCGTATTTTTTGGTACAGGTATGGAATTTTCAGCATGTGATTATTATTATTATTATTATTGTACCCTTTAATTCCTACAGGAACATAGGGCTTCAGCCGTGCGTCTCCATTGCGTTCTGTTCTCTGCTAGATTCTTCACCTGGCTCCATGTCTGCCCACACGTTTTCATCTCCTCTTCACATGACCTCCTCCAAGTCACTCTTGCACTGACAAACAACTCGCCGCTTCCCTTTCGGTTTCCACTCGAGCGATGGCTTGTCTGGTGATGTCACTTGATGGTTTCCTCAGAGTATGGCCAGCCAATCCATCTCCATTTCTTCTTGCCTATTTGTTTCACAATCGATTCCTGCTGAGTTGGTTCGCTCATTACCAGAGAACTCTGTTGCTGATCTTTTGTGGCCATCCGATCTTGAGTACTGAGCGAAGACAACTGTTAATGAAGGTTTGTAGTTGATTTGACATGCTCTTTATGACGCACTGGCCAAGTCTTTGATCCGTATAGTGAGTAGCACTGACTGACTTCACATTGGAGTTGAAAATCCGGATTTTATTTTCATTTTCATGCTGAGTGCTGTTGACCTCCACACAGACTTGAGAGTAATGAAAGCTTGTGTTGCTTTCCTGATTCTTGCTTTGATATCCCCGTCAGTTTCGCCTGTAGTTGAAACGATGCTTCCCAGGTAGGTTGGTAGGTAAAGGAAGTTGTTTCTTTCAGGTTCCTTCCATTTATGCTGATTGTTGTCGTTTGTTGTTGCTGCTGTTGGTGGTGTTGCCCAGGAATCTTCATTACCTCTGTTTCCTCTATGTTCACCCGAAGTCCTATCTTTGATGCTTCTTCTGACAACTTGTTGCTTTTCACCTGCATATCTTCGAGTTTGTGGGAAATCAGACATACATATATCATCGGCGAAGTCCAGATCCTCCAAGTGTTTTGTGTGAGTCCATTTTATGCCTGTTTCCTCATTGCCTGCTCTTTGTCGCATTATCCAGACTGCTGCAATCAAGAAAATCATTGGCGATAGTAGGCAGCCAGCTTGTCTTACTCCTGTCGTCACTTCGAAGGATTCCGTAAGTTTTCCGTTGTGGATTACTTGGCATGCAGCATTGTCAGCCTATAACATACAAATGTCACAATATTGAGGTACTATCTAGGAGGAAAACGGATAATAGTTACAAGATTAGTTGAAACGTCCAAATAAGGCTGATTCAGGAGAAGCAAATCATGTGCTGATCGAACTGCAGCTGTACGCATCATCATCACAGAACAAATCATGGGATGGCAGCCAAAACTCACTCTACCTCAATAGCTTCATCGACTTCAAAAAGGCCTTCGACAGATGGCATTGACTGAGAAGTAATTTGGAAACTACTTCAACACTGTGGCGTGCACTGCCCAAGTCCTTATCAACCTCATTCAACAGCAGGCTGTATGACAGTGCTACATGTCAGGTGATCCATAAGGGGAATCTCAGTGAGGCTCCCGAAGCGAATACAGGAGTAAGATTTGGCCGCCTACTTGCTATCACTGATAGCAATATTATTTGTGGTGGACTGGATTATGCGGACGACTGTGCACAGGAAGTGGGAACACAGGAATATTCTGGACAAATAAGAAGAGTCTAGAAGATGCGGATTTCATGCACAGATATATGTTTGGTGTCACACAAACTCGAAGACTTGCAGGAAGGCGAAAACCAACAAACTGGCAGAAGAGTGGGGCAGCGAAGACAGGACTCCAAGTGAACCTAGAGAAGTTGTAGATGGAAGTGATGAAGATAAACAAACAACCAACCAACCAACAGCAACAGCAACAGCAATCAGCATCAATCACCATCAACAGGAGAGATTTGATAGAGGTTACTTCCTGTCTTCACATATCTGGCCAGGAAGCACGGTGTCAACCACAGGCGGATGGCAAGGATGAAAATGTAAAGGCCAGCCATCCAGACAGAATCGGAAGGGCAACCAGTTTGTAAATCTTCTGCACTGCATCTCAGGCGAAATAAACAACAAGATTCAGATTCTGTTCCACACAAATCTCAAGTCAGTCAGTCGGTCAGTCACTTTTTCTATTTGGGTCAGAAACGTGCAGTTCTGGTCACAGAAAAGCATTTTCAACAGGTTACTAAAGGCTTTTATCAACACCTGCTTACTTTGCTGGCTCTATATTGAAGATCACATGAATGGGCAGAAAGAATTAGCAACAAGAAACTCTGGCTTGCTGGCTGAGAACAAACCAAACGCCGAGAGCTTATTGCTTAACAAAGTCATATGTAGAAGAAAATGTTGATAGATTGATCCGGCATACATTGAGTAGGGCATCGAATGACATCACGCTCAATGCAGGCCATTGCTCGAGTGGAAGATGAATGGGAGGCGACGAGTGGGTCGTCACTGACAGAGTGACACGGAGGTGATCGTGTAAGCTAAAGGAGGAGAAGAGAGATTCTGGACAATCGTGAAGCAAGCCACGTGAAGAAGAGTGCAGAAAATAGAATAAAGTGGAGATGTGTTGCTGAAGCACTATGTTTCACTGGGAACCCAAGGGAATAATAGTAATAAGGTTACAGAAAAACAATAAGGATGAAGTCAGCATATGATACGCAAATGTCACGATAATGAGTTGCAGTCTACGAGCTGGATTAAGGATAGGGGAATCATGTGCTGATCAAATTGCAGTTCCACACAACATCATCGTACAGAGCATAGCATGACAGTCAAACCTCTACCTCAACTTCTTCGGCTGCGAAAACGCCTTCGACAGACAGTGTTGACCGAGAAGTAATTTGGAAACTATTTCAACAATACAGCGTGCAATGCCCAAATCCTTATCAACCTCATTGAACAGCTGGCCATATGACAATGTCACTTGCCAGGTGATCCGTAACGGAAAACTTAGCCAAGCGTTCGAAGTAAGTAGATGAGTAAGACGTGGCTGCCTGCCTTCTATCACAAACGGTGACATTTCTAATTGTGGCGAACTGAATAATGCTGAGAACTGTTAATGGGGATTGAGAAGGGGTGGGTCGATAAGAAGATGTACTCTAGAAGATCTGGGTTTCGCGGATGATTTATGTCATACGTCTCACAAACTTGAAATGTGAAGTCAGTCAGTGCTTCTATATGGGTCAGAAAAATGGCCAGCGCGTCGCGTAAAGCATTTCCAACAGACTACTGTAGACTTTTATCAACAGCTGCCCACTTTGCTGGCTGGCTACATATTGAAGATCAAATAGCCGGCCAGAAAGAATTAGTAAAAAGAAACTATGGCTGGCTGAGAACAAACCAACAGGTGAGAGCTTATCGCTCAATAAATATGTTGGAGAAAATGGAGGTAAATTGATCGGGGATACGTTGAGGAGGCCATCGAATGCAGGCCATCTCTTAAGTGGAGTTTCAATGGGAAGCGACGAGTGAGTCTTAGGTGCGAAGGTGACATGAAGGAGATGGTGTGTGTGTTGGAAGAGAAGGAGATGAGAGATTATTGGGAATCGTGGAGCAGGCTACTTGAGGAGAAGTGCAGAAAATAGAACAAATAGGAGATGTATTGTTGAAGCCAGCCATATATTCCACTTGAAACCCAAGAGAATAGTAATAATAAGGTCACAGACAAACAATAAAAATCAAGTCAGCATATGATATAGAAATATCACGACAATGAGGTACAATCTAGGAGAGAATGGGATCCCAATGGGAAGCGATGAGTGGGTCGTCACTTGGAGAGTGATACGGAGGTGATAGTGAGAGATAAAAGAAGGAGATGAGAGATTCTGGACAATTGTGGAACGAGCCACGTGAACTGGAGTTCAGAAAATAGAATAAAGTGGAGATATGTTGCTGAAGCTCTACGATTCACTGAGAACCCAAGAGATTAGTAATAATAAGGCCACAGACAAACAATGACGATGAAGTCAGCATATGGCATACAAATGTCACGACAATGGGGTAC